CAGATCCCCATATTATACCCCATATGGATGGCAACCCATCCTGAACAAATGTCCCAAAACACACCACAAAACCTCAGACCCCAAGATTTTCATCTCACACATCCCTATTTTGAACTTTGCCGGAGCAGATCTCCATATTATACCCCACATATGTGCCAACCCATTTTGAACCAATATCCCAAGATATACCACAAAACCTCAGACCCCAAGATTTTCATCTCATACATCTCTATTTTGAACTTTGCCGGAACAGATCCCCATATTATACCCCCATATGGGTGGTAACCCATCTTGAACCAATGTCCCAAGAAACACCACAAAACCTCAGACCCCAAGATTTTCATCTCTCATATCCCTGTTTTGAACTTTGCCGGAGCAGATCTCCATATTATACCCCATATATACATCAACCTTAAACCAATGTCCCAAAATACACCACAAAACCTCAGACCCCAAGATTTTCAACTCACACATCCCTGTTTTGAACTTTGCCGGACAAGATCTCCATATTATACCCCACATGTGTGCCAATTCATTTTGAACCAATGTCCCAAGATACACCACAAAACCTCAGACCCAAGATTTTCATCTCACACATCCCTGTTTTGAATTTTGCCGGAACAAATCTCCATATTATACCCCACATATGTGCCAACCCATCCTGAACCAATGTCCCAAGATATACCACAAAATCTCAGACCCCAAGATTTTCATCTCACACATCTCTATTTTGAATTTTGCCGGAACAGATCCCCATATTATACCCCATATGGGTGGCAACCCATCTTGAACCAATATCTCAAGCGACACCACAAAACCTCAGACACCAAGATTTTCATCTTACACATCCCTGTTTTGAACTTTGCCGGAACAGATCTCCATATTATACCCCACATGTGTGCCAATTCATCTTGAACCAATGTCCCAAGACACATCACAAAACCTCAGACCCAAGATTTTCATCTCACACATCCCTATTTTGAACTTTGCCGGAACAGATCTCCATATTATATCCCATATATATGCCAACCCATCCTGAACCAATGTCCCAAGACAGACCACAAAACCTCAGACCCCAAGATTTTCATCTCACACATCCCTGTTTTGAATTTT